GCACTTTCTTCTTATATTAAAAAAAAGCACTACAGTTTTGTTTTTATAAAAAAAAACTTTCTTTATCTTTTGTATATGAAATGAGTTTGGAGAATGTAAATTACATAGAAAATTTTGTACTTAAAACTTTAATTAAGAAAATGTGAATCAAGAGAATGTTGTCATCTAATACTAGATTTGACTTTTAAAGAACTCAATTGTTCAATTCGATTTCATCTTGATTCGTGTTCTTTGGAACACAAGAAAATCTTCTCAATTGATGACGAGAAGATGAAATCGATCTATAAAACATAATTGTTGGAATTGCAGAGATGATGACGAGGAGAACTATGTGGATTCGCTTCAAGGGAAGTAGATGTTGGGAAGACACGATGTCGAAGAAACAAAAAAAACGATGGAGATAAAAAAAATTCTCTTATTTTCAATTAAAAGCCTTAGATGAGCTAGAGTTTTTTATAAGAAGAAGAAAAGAAATCCCATCTTTTTAGTTGATGTGTATCCCCTTCCTATTAAAAGGCAAGTACAATTAGTGAAGAACCTTAGTTGTTTTAATTATATTGGTACAAAATTATGACATGTCTTAAATAAATGATGACATGGCTAAACTATCTAATTAATCTCAAAACATAAATTTGATTCCAACAAAATAAACTATAATTAATATTTTAAAATATAAAATTAACATACAAAGTTATTTCATATATAGCAACGATTTTGTAATAAATTTAATTTAGCACTTACCTTAAATATATGACACATAGAATTTAGCACTTACGGTTAACCAGTTGTTATTACGATTTTGTAATAAATTAAATATATKTTTTTTTWWAAATGACATAGCTAAAARTACTTAAATCATTGATTTATTATTATATTTGAAAATGCATATACAAAATGAGATCTAAATACATGTCATCGTATTTATTTAAATCAACTGGTTAACCGGCACGATTTTTTGCCATTCTATACTAAAATTTCAAAATTATAATTTGTAACTATTGGGAAATATTTATCGATCATAATCAATTTTAAAACCGGGCCAGTTAACTTGGGTTTGTATCAAATTCAGTTATCAACCACTTGATTAGCTAACTTAGTTTCGTGTCACTAGAGTTGGTTCTGTTACGGGTTTAGAATATACACATCATCTATGCATAATTGTTTTATGCTTATTCTGTAGTTAAGTGCAACTTAAGATTTTTAATATTGTACAGCAGATTTTGATACAACGAATGAATGAAATGATGAATCTATGTTTATATATCTAATAATTAATAGTTCAAACTCCCAATTTGCTAACGAATCATGGTACTAAAATTTGTTAGCATTAAATACGAATTTTTCAAAATATTCGAAACAATAAATCTAAATAGTAATTGATTTGACCAAAAAAAATATAGTAATTGATTATTTCAAAAAGATGTCAAGACCATCTTTTTAGTTTCAAATATTTTTTCTGTTTTAGAAGCAAACATTAAAAAGATTTCCTATATTTAGATAAATTAAAATTTGGTGTAGAAGAATATGTCAAATTATCATATTCGCAACGRTTTCTGGAATAGAAAATAATATTGTCTTATCAAAACACATTTTTAAACATTAATCAATACTATTATTTAAAAAGTGAGAAGAAATAATAATAAAAGTTGGGATGATTGATAACAAAATTTTCTTTAATATTTTTTAATACGATTAATTATTAGAAATTATCGGTCAATATTTTATTCGTTATTTGAGACGTAGAAAAAGTATCGTATAGAGAGCTGTATGTAGTGATTTTTTTTAAGAAATGTGAAATCATTCTATTTAATTTTTATTAAAAAAATTAATAATTAATTAGTAGAGAAAGCATCAAATATTTTTGGCTAAGAATTTGGTCGGAATATTGGTCGATACATTTATAGAAATTAAATAATGTTTATTTGAGGTTTTAAATGGTGACACACATTTTTGATATTTCATACGAAAAAATGAAGGCAACTAAGTTGAATGAGGCGGTAAAAAATTCGGAAATGGTAGAGATTAATTGTATATAATAATCTGGCTACTGAGATCAACGATAGTATCCAACCTTGAAAAACTAATTACATTTAAAAGTAAACATTATAAAAGAAAATTAATTCATTAATATTTTTTCTGTCTATTTTTACCTTGAGATAATACCAAAAAGATTAGTTTTCACCTCAAAGAGTGTAACAAATGGTAATAAGAAGTGACTTTGATCAAACTAATTGTCTTACGGGAAGGTCTGTGAAGTCGACAAGTAGTTTTGTCTTCTGAAAATCATAGACAGTTGGCAAGACTACGACATAAACAAGAAGATCACTCCTTGGTCTTAAACTTCATTCCAAGCAAGTACTCACAATCACTTTTAATCTTAACTATATTTTTGTGGGAACTTTCTTATCATCACCAAAATATTACATCTATAATATTGATTTCTTACATCATATAACTTTAAAATAAACAATCATGTACAATTAATTTTTATAAATGATAAAATCAAAATATTAAACACCAAAATTATTTATTCTTAAAATTTATATCCACACACGATCCGGGTCGATCACCTAGTTTCTCTTTATTTTAATATTTTTACTATATTTTTTTAAAATAAATGATAGAAGAAAATTTAGATTAATCAAAGGTTTAGTATATTAAACCTCTAGGATAAAAGTTTAGATTGACAAAAATATGGGTTTTTCCTAATTTTCCCATTTTAATATAGCAAGAAAACAATAATTTGTTTTTAATGCTGGAATATTATCTATTACATAGACGATGCTATAGTGTGCAATTTTAATATGACATGCGAGACCATGATGACCGGTTCTACTTGCATCATGGTTAAAATTTTTTGGGAATTCTGTTTTCACTAATTTGCATTCTCGAGAACTCATGTATATTTTTAGTGTAAACATATTAATAAATGTTTGGTCAAACTATCGGATAAAAACAATAGTTATGTGAAGTAGTTTTGCATTGGATCCAAGTTAGGGTTAGTATCGCTGATCACTTTCTGTAATTGAAACAAATATATAAAAATTGGGTTTAAAATATTTATTTCTTAGCCTAATTAGGGGTAAATTAATTATCTCGGATTGTAGTGGAGGACTGGAGGTAATGAACTTACAATTATATTACATTGGAAAAAAATCAAGGGGCAATTATAAAAATGCCACTTTTTGTGTCCACATTTCCAAGAATGCCATTTAGGGGTGTCCATTTACAAAAATACCACT